TGGTGGTGAGGGGGGGGGGGCAGGTGCTGCTGGGGGAGACCCAACGGACTGCTGCTGTGGCTGCAGAGACACAAGGGGGAAGGATACATTTCTCTGTTAATTAATGAACATATTGTTTGGTTTTAGGGTGCTTTTTGTTGTTGTTGTTGTTGTTGAGACAAGATTCAAGGCTTTTATCGTCATTTGTACACAAGATATTCCCAAAGATATTGAAGTGACTGTTATTTTGTTTGTTGTTGTGCTTTTATTTATGCCTTAATGTGTGCATATGTATAAATAAATGTGTCTGTTGATTGTGTATATATGATATACTTAAGCAATAGCTCACGACAGGCCGTGGTATATGCTACAACTCAAATCAAGCAATCTGATTGGTCGATAGCGTTTTTGCGTACCTCTTTGATTACAGATTTGAAAACATCGTTGCTTGCTTTAAAAGTAGCACAATTCATTATGTTAAACCTTCAAAAGTATCTAGATATCCCTGCCCTAATGCCAAAGGAACTGCACACTGAATATGTTTTGCCGTTTGATGTCTATGTCTGGACCGCTGCGTCCAAAAGGAGGGCTTCTGCCCCGTTACTTCTCCGCTGCTTTCTTGTTCCAGTTCAGCCCAACGGTATACTGTTTTTCTCAGACGCGGAGGGATACTGACTTGTTGTGAAAAGTAACTTACAATTCTACCCGTGGTATACGCTCAGTATATCACGGCTAAGAACCAATCAGATTGCTTGATTTGACTTGTCCGTTTTATAAATCTTTTTATATATGTTTGTATTTTTGTATTCGGGATTGTGGGAAGCGGTATTTCGATCTCTCTGTCTGTACACACAAACTGAAATATCGTCAATAAAGTTGACTTTGACTAAAGTGTAGATGTGTCGATGAAAATCTTAGGCCGACAGAGCAAGGGGAAATACATTTCTCAGTTAACATAATGAAGATATTGTTTTGTTTTATTCACACAGTACAGACGAAATACAGCAAGTGTTTATTTGTAATATGTTTTTGTACATTTGTTGGAAATATCTGTTCCCTTGCTTTGTTTCTGCTCAGCTGAGAATACGTCCGACTCTCTGCTCTGACATCATAAGAATTATTTTCCAATAAACCTCCTGACACTGAAATAAAAGCAGGGGAGTGTGACTGTGCCGTGCGTTCAGGAGCGTTGCTGAATGAAAAACAGTAAATCTGACGGCTGGTTATTACGAGTTTACAAGTGTCAGGGAAATCAATATCCGCATGAAACCAGCAGTCGATATTGTGTAGGATCGTACAGTATCTTGTCGCAACAGACTAAATTATAGTCATTTGGAAATTGCTGCAGTTCATTTTATCCACTAGGCTGGCAGGAAGACAATGATAGGAGAGTGGTGATGCAACACTGTGATGAGGTACAGAAGTAAAAGCGAACACATGTCGTTGGTACTGAATATCTGCTCCCTTATTGAGTTACTGGTGGTTGGATTAGATCTACTTTATTTATCCTATATTGGGAAATGTAGTTGCAGCACCATGTTTACAAAGCATTGCACGAGTACAAATTATAATAAAAGAAAAAAAAATACAATATTTAGTAACCATATACATCAATAGAAATCTAAATATCTAGAGTATCTTTAGAATAAATTATATATAAATACAGAATTAGTTAACATGTCTCTGATTGGCTGAAACACCAAACAGATCATTGCAGCATTACCCATAATCCCCTCTGTTTCAGCCCTGTTTCCAAAGTGCTGATTCTCTGTCTGTTACTTTAGATGAAAATAAGGAGCCCCTCCCCTCTGATTGACACATGTTGATGTAGAAGAGACATGAACAAGAGGGGACACATGTTGATGTAGAAGAGACATGAAGAAGAGGGGACACATGTTGATGTAGAAGAGACATGAAGAAGAGGGGACACGATGTTGATGTAGAAGAGACATGAAGAAGAGGATTTTAGGACAATAGGTGACT